ATTTCTTACTTTTAGGTGATTATACACTGATGATGAATATTATATTCCATTTTTGCCAATAGATCATCCTAAATAGTACACACTGGACCTTTAAACCATGAATCTTTTGTTTACAAAACTCTCCCAGTGCCTAGATAAAAACAATTTTTATATGTGTGACATCATCCCAATGTAAAGTGACCGTGGGCGCCATCTTTGAGTCCGGTATACAGTTCTTATCATAAATGCAGCACCAAACCCTGCTACCTGTCACACCTCTAACACACCTGGCTAATTGCTGAATAAGGTGGACGTGATTGTCAGGTTGGCGGTTTCGGAGAGCTACTCCCAATTCAGCAGGTTTCAGTTGCTGTCCGACGATCAGACACCCTGAAACCTTAAGTCATCATGTGATACCCTTCACTCACCAAGTGACCCTGGACCTCTTCAGATTTTGGGTTTCAGACAAGGTTTAGCAAAAAAATACTGCAAAGCAACATGTGATTTAATCCATTCAGATTATCCCATACTGCTTATCCCTCCTAAATCTCATTGTGCATGGCCAATAATGTGAATAGTTTGATTTTATGCCCTGTTATTAGCTCCATAAGTAAAAGCCAAAGCTTTGAAACCAAAAGAGGCTTTGGATTTTCTACTGTGGGTGTGTTGAATTTAATATGTTAAAAACAAGATTTTCTCCTTCACATTTGAGGCTGAATAACAAATGAAAATGAGAAACATCTTTCGGCTTGCTGATCCTTTTTAAAATGTAGACCTTTTGTTAAATGTACTTTCACATTATTGATTTAAATACTATTCTCAACATTTGAAATAAAAGAAGATTAAGTGTCCACCTGCTGTATTAATAAGGCTCTGAAATACATGAAAGAGCACCTCATTAAGCAATACAATATGGATTTTATGGATTTTATTACCCCCTGGGTCAAGTTATTGGGAGCTAGACTCTGAAGATTACCCTTTCCACACACACATCACACACCGCACATATTAGTCATGGCCCAGCATCAGCCACATGTGCATAATTCGGTTTTTATTACCCAGTGCCAAGCCATCAGGAATGTGTCCATTTTGCACATTGCCAGGTAACATACAGTACATACAGTGAGCACAGTGTGGGTTGGCGGCAGGATCAGCAAGCATGAAGGATCTTACACTGTCATGTATGAAAGCTGCAAACGGAGAAAAAGTCTCTGGAACAAATAAGTCCACCCTGGTCCAGTCTGCAACTTCAACAGGTGTGATGTAGAAACTTGAAGCCAACAGTGCACATACACAGACAATGGACTTTAGAGTAGGAGCAAGCAGGAGACATGTTGTGTAACAGCAGGAAAGCTTTAGAAGTGAACATATTCATAGATTATGGAAGCAGATATCTTTTTAAGGATTTTAATTGGAATTTTTGTTTTCCAGAATAACTGTTCCAAGCAGTTTATATGTCCTAATACATGTTTTATATTTACCATCTAAGTGTAATGTGATGGGGTGACAAACCCTTAGGGTTATTGGGACTTAAGGTGGGGTTGTGACTTCAATCCCCCACTGATGTGGTCTGAAAACCTCTTGAGATCGCAGCTTGAGATGCGAAAATGTTTTAAAAAATAAAAAGCATGAAAGTTATTCTTAGAGGGTCTAAGGATATAGTTTGTATGCTGTACAGGTTGTAAAGCCCCTTGAAGCAAATGTGTGATATGTGATATTGGACTATTTAAATAAAACTGCTTTGACTTGTTGCTGTCTAACGCACTCTTGTTCCACTGAAATGCAGAAAACAGAAAATCACATTAAAACCATTTTTAAAAAACGGAACAAGAGGACATCCATTATTATTGCAAGTTTGG